CAGCAATGATTGAGAGAGACTCCCTATATCTTTTCTTAAATGTTTGTTAATTTGCTAGACAAAAGTGATATTTAGATTATTAGTGAGGTTAAGTTTGTTCAGGTTAATCAACCATTTGTAATTCTTCTTCTAAAATGACCTGATAATGGCACCCATTGCTCTCTTCTTCTAAGTCCCCCTTCCTCCCTCCCCACCAGCCCTGCCCCAGCCCCAAGCCTCCTTCCCCAGAGGTTCTTTCCCCGCCCTGGGCTCCAAAGTGGCCCTCTCTCTCCTGGTTCTGCACCCTTTGCCGTCTGCTCACAAGCCTCTCTCGTCCCCTCCACAGCCTCATCGCTGGTCTCTCTCTCTGCTTCTGTGCCTGTGGGCGCCCCCTTGCTCTGCCTCCCTCACCCTCTGCACCAGAGAACCAGCTGGCTGCTTGGGTCCACCATCAGACAGGCCATTGCTGACCTGGGGCAAGCACAGCAGGGCCCAAGCAAATGGGAGCCCCAATCGGGGTCTAACCCACTGGGACTTGGCACAACTCTGTCTCATCTTTTCCTCTCCCCATTATTCTAACTCAGACTTTAATTTTCACAAATGATACAATTTGGTGGTTTGGGGTTTCTGCAGGAGAATGTCTGTGATCCTCAGAGCACGGGGCCTGTTTGCCCTTGTTAGGGAAGAGGGACTCTGGACGCTCTGCAGGCCCCGTCAGGCTGTGGTAATCAGCGGGGGCCGCTGGAGCTGCAGAGTGTAAACCTGGGCCTTCTTAGTGAGACTTTGCAGAAATCCCACTGGAGAGTTTTCTGCCCCTGCCCTGTCTACTTTCTTTCATAATGATAAATGGCTGAAAAGAAAACTATCTAATCTCCCAACTGCTTGCTTTTTTTCTACTCTTTCTTCAAGGAGAGAAGGAAGAACACGGTCACATAAAACAGAGTCCTTCATCGCCTGCTTCTCAGGAGACAGTTCTTTCCCTTTTCATCCAGGGCCTGTTTCTGATCTGTGATGGGCTCGCATTGAAAGCTCCAGCCGGGCCCTCTCTAATCAGCTGCGACAGACGCTGCAGTTGCTTGGGTCGCCCATTGAAATTGAATTGATTACCTGGCCCCTTTGCCATTTTGTTCTGCACACAATTGCTTAATAGCTGTCACCTTGGCTTTCGGTCCCAGCCGGCTTCGGGCTGACTGGTTCCCATTACTGGGGATGGCCAGTGCAAGTTCACCACCTTTACAGGATGGCCCTGATTGATTCCGTATGCCTCCCAGACCTGAAACGGATTTGCATAGGAGGGAGGAGGGCCTTGGTGGGGGATAGAACAGAAAACTCTTGGCCTCGGGAACTGCCAGGTTTTGCTGCGGAGCTCACCATATTTGAATCATTACCGGGGCTTCTTGTCAGGGATCTGGCCTCTGCTGACATAGCTGCTAATGAATTTGTAAATTTTTAAAAATACAGAACAACCCAGCCTGTTCTAACCTTCGCTGTCGCCACCTGCCGCCTGGGTGGTGGCAGCAAACAGGATTCTCTGGCCTGAGCTGGTGCTGGTCTTAGAGATGACAGTCGCACCCTCCCAGCCCCCTCTGCTGCCCGCCAAGCAGGAGGACTGGGCCTCGGAGGGAGACATCTTTCAAGTGAAATCCTTTGCACTGGGAACTACTTCAATTAGACAGCAGGGGGAATGTTAACATGCCCTCCGGCCTTTTAAGTGGGTTTTAATTTTATGTTGTAAGATAAGACACTGTGAGGCCGGGGCTGCTGCTCCTCCAGCAGGCTCCATTAGTGGGGCCAGCCGAGGCCTCTTGACCCCCCGAGGCCTAGCAGAGGCTGGAAGTTGGTTTGGTTTTTTAACAATTTGTCAGCCTGACCCAGCTTCTCTCTTCATTCTCCCTTTTGTGATCCCAGGCTCCTCTACTGTGGGAGAGCAGTTGGGTGGCTGAGCCTGGACCAGCCTTTCCCAGTGCCTGGCCCTGGGCTGGAGAACAGAGCCCTGGGGCTGCCTGCCGATGGCCTCACAGATGAATGTTCATCGTTCTTTTTTTTTTTCCTTCCCAGGCAGGGCACAGCAGAAGCAGACCCTTTTCATGTGGCAGGTTTCTGGCCCGATGATGTATGGCCTGTTGGCGCTACTGAATAGTGCCCTTTGTTCCCGGGTATCCCATGTGCCCCCTTTTTATTGACTTGTTGATTCAGAGGGGCCGGAAAGTTCCACAAATCCCACTGCAGGCCTTGCTCCAGCCGTACCCAGGTGGGGAAGACCAAGGACCTCCTGCTTCCCAGAAAGCTGGGAGGAAGCTGTGAGCTGCCTAAAGGCAAAACACCCCTGTAGAAGCAGCTTTCTTTACCTGGGACCCAGGCAACTGTGTGTCTGGTGTGAGCCTGGGAACCCACAGCCGGCTCCCAGCCCTCTGCCTGGATTCTAGAAGGTGCAGAGTATCCCAGGATGCAGTCTTCACCCAGAAAGAAAAGAACAGAGCAGGTGTGAGTTAGGAAGAGCCCCCTTCCCTGTGCCCTGAACCAAGTTAAGTTTTCCTCTGTGATCAGCAAGCCCAAGGTGGGAACCAACAGCAAGGGAAGAAGGGGCCTGGCCTCCTCCTGCAGGAAGAAGTCCAGTCAGGGAGAAACCCTAGAGCCACAAGGGCAGGGCTCTGAGGAAACAGGAGACAAGGTTCACTTTGTGCCCAGCTGGAAATCTCATCCTAATCCCAATGAGGACGAGATTGGAAAGGTAGCAGCCTGCACTGGAGATGGTGGATGACAGTGAGCGGCTTTGGAGAAGGAGCCATGAGGGGTAGGGCAAGAGGCAGGGGGTGGTTAGGACGGAAACCCAACAGCACTTCCGACACCAGCGTCTCTTCTAACCTAGTGGGATGACTCCACACTGGATTTCATCTCTCTTTTCCCCTCCACCTGTGTCCAGGCTTCAGGGATCTGGCTGGGGAGTGGGCAAGTGGAGGGAGGGCTCCATTAGGCCTACTCGTACTCCTCTCTGGGTGCAGGTGGCTGGTGAGCTCGGAAAGCCTCCGTCTCCGATGGAAGCTGCTTTTCTGAAGCAGCTGCACAAACCCCACTAAGGATTCCCTATAGGGGAGACTACCTCCCCCAAACCACCAGGTTGTGTGTTGGCTACTAAAAGGGAACAGCCTCTTGGGCACTGCCTACCCTGCCCCTCCGGGGCCTCTGTGGGCCCTGGGACCCAGACCCATCATCTGAAGAGCAGCATGAAGTCCACGGTCCAGTGGCTCCGTGGACCCTTCTCTCCACGCTGAGAGGCTCCATGGTACAAACGGTCAGTGGCACCAAGGGCTCCATCTGGCCCTTGAGAAAAAATGCGAGCAGAAGGGAGGCAGAGACCATGGCTGAGCCAAGAAATGACAAGTCAGGAAGGAGTAAAGGGCATCCACACACTTCACAGTTGTAAAATGGCTTTATGTTCCGATATGCAAAATAAAATGTCCATGCTATATAACAAAACACTTGAGGTTCCATATCCCCTGTTAGCTAATGTGTCTGCTAATAAAATTTAATCTGTACTGTGTGTGTTTATATATTTATTTATTTATTTATTTATTCATTTATTTATATGTTTTTCTAAACCATTCTTAGTTTTTTTAACATCAAGTGTGTAATAAAAATTTAAATAGATGTCTTTCCAAATACCCCCTCCAACATTTCTTTTTTTTTTAAAGTTTATTCATTTGTAAAGAGCAAAGCTGAATTTGACATGTGGCCTGCATTTGTGAGATATATATATATATATATTTCTTTATTTATTTATATAATATATAAATAGCTATTCAGCATGCAAAGAGTTTAGAGATTTCCCAACTTGGATTACAGAGTTTGCACCAGCCGCGTGGATGGTCTGGTGATGTTCAATGCTAAAGAGCGGGGCTGAGGACTCGGACCCACCTCGCTGCAGAAGAATGGTCCTTGCTCCTCTGAGCGCACTGGCTGAATTTACTGGAAGAAGTGAATGTTTTCTCGATTCTCGTTTTTATTTCTGTTGGGCTTTCCTGCTCCAGAGGCATGGATTTTCTGGGAGCAGAACAGGCTCCGTAGATGCCTGGCAGCAGCCCCAGCGCAGTCTCCTGGGGACGCTGCCAGGTGAAGTGTGTTTCATAATTGCCAGCCACAGGATGCAGATGGGGCCTGAGAGGCTGAGTCTTGCACAACAGAGGGAGTGAGAGCTTGTGCCTTGGGGACCGAGGGGGAAGGGCTTTGCACTTTATAAGAAACCCTGAATGATGACAGAGATGCCATAGGTTGCATTTTCCCTCCTCTTAAAGGAAAAAAAAAAAGTTTTTTTCATATCCATCAGGTGGCACTGTGCCTTGGGGACCGAGGGGGAAGGGCTTTGCACTTTATAAGAAACCCTGAATGATGACAGAGATGCCATAGGTTGCATTTTCCCTCCTCTTAAAGGAAAAAAAAAAGTTTTTTTCATATCCATCAGGTGGCACTTAGCACATGACACTCTCTGAAGATCAGCCCTCATAGCTCAGGGATGAATTTCCAGGCCACTCACTGGGCAGCCAGCTCCACTAAGGGTGTGCTCTGTGGCTTAGCTGGGCCCACCTCTTGGGTCGCGTCATAGAACCTTCAGAAGACAAGGGAGTGGGCCAGAGGTTCTCAGGCCTCCTTGCAAAGAGAAGGCCAGGACCACTAAGGTATGCACAGAGCCCTCCCACCCCAGTGAAGAGAATCCTCCCCCACCTTTCTGTGGGAGGGACCTCATCACCTGGCCCTGAGTAAGTCAAATATTATATTATAAAATCTCTAAATATTTCACATGAACTCCCATCCCACCCGTGGGCATGTTCAAGAGATGCCAGATAACAAAGGACCCAGGTCCTACAGCCAAAAGCACATCCTAGACAGTTGTGTTTTGTTCCTTGTCATGGCCTCAATTGTATGGCAGAAGATCAAGGCTCTCCAAATGCATGTGCACACACACACACATGCACACAGCCCACCCTTTAACTACCTTCCTATGTTTCTTGGTAGTGCAGGCCACCCACAGAGGTCAGTGCTGGGTCAACATGGTCCTGGGGCTGTCGAGGGACCTGGGAGTCATCCGTCAGTCCAGTTCTCCACAGTCCCCATTCCTGGGTGGTACTGTACGGAAGCTTCCCGGGATAGGGAGAAGCTCTGAGAGTAGAGAAACTCGTTGGCAGCGTTCAGGTGTGGAGAGGGTGGCTTCCTCTCACACACCGCGGGGAGGCCTCGCTCCCTCGGGAAGGCGGTGGTGGGCCCCCGCTCTCGGCCCTGAGCCTGGGAAAGCTGATTGTAGACACTGAAGTGGGTGTTTCCTGGTGGCTGGGCGCCCTGAGCGGAGATAGTGGGCAGCCGAGGCATCATAGTGGTGGTGGTGAAGTGCGTGGGGAAGGACTGGTAAGGCACAGTCTCCATTGTCTGAACGCTGTAGCTCGTGTACGGAGAGACTGACGTCCACATGTTACAGCTCAGGGGGGGTGGGGGCAAGTCGTCCACCCCAGACACCCCGGCAATCTCAGGCCCTGAACCCGAGTACATACAGGCTTCTCTTGGGGTCACCTCGCTGCAGTAGGAGGGGCTCAGCATCTGTTGGTCGTAGGGAGGGGGTGAACGGAAGTAATGATCCTCCCCCACCGCAGAGGGGGCTTCCAGGTAGGAGCGCTTGCAGGGTAGGTCCAGGTGGCGGGCGTTGTCTGCTGGAAGACAAAGAAACCTTCAGGAAGAGCCATTCCCACCAGCCCATGGGTCAGAGCAACCCGGCTGGAGGCCAGGATAAGCCTACCTTTGTCATTCAGGGCCCACCCTTGTCCTGTGTTGCCATGGCACTCCCAAAACCACTTTAATCAGCAACAGCTTTTATAAGGTGGCAGCAGCCGAGAAATGGTGAGATTGTGGACCTTGCCCACAGGCACAGGGACACTCCATCACTGGGCACTGAGTCGTGTGTTTAGCCAGGAGGCCCTCAGCTTTGATCCTTTGCCTTGACTCTCGGGGCTGGGAAGAGGCCTTAATGTGTGCTGGCATTCTTAGACTAGACCCACCCTGGCCAAGGAAAGTAGACACAATTGCCAGACCAAACCAGGCCCAGAGGCCACATCTGTGTGAATGAGCCAGGAAATACAAGCCACAGCGTTTCTGCCTCAATCCTCAGCTCCCAGGAAGGCCTTTAGGAAGCCCAAGTTACCTGCAGGCATGTTCCTGCTGCTTTCAGAAGAGGAAATTGTCATTACACAGATTCCAAGATAACATTGTTTACAAAATTAAGAAATGGAGCTGATAATAAATAAGTAAAAGGTGACTACTTTTGAGCCTAAGCTAATACTCTGGGAAAAGATAACCTTAACTGTCCCAAACCATCCTCAACCATGAGGACTTGACTCTGGAGTGGCACGTCCCCTCCTGGAATCCAGGGATGACCCAGGCCCCAGGACTTGGGCAACAGCCCACTTGACAAACTTAAGAACGCTTGTCCTGTGGCTTATCTTGGCTCACCTCCTCCTGTTTTCTCTAGAGATCCACTCTGGGAGTGTGTACACAGGGCAGGGTGGGCTGGGGAGTGGGCCACGTTTGAAGGCCTGCTCCCACCTCTGCCCCAGGTAGAGGCATTTTCCTTGATCAGGCACTTGCCCCTCTCTCTTACCCAGCTCTCTCCTTCACCCCTCACTCATCCCTCCTCTCCATCTCCTCTCCAGATTCCTCCTTTCTCTCGAACGCACTAAGCTCTTGAACTTGGAAAGTGGCCCAGTCACTCTAGGTCAGTAGTGAGCAAACTGTTCTGTAAAGGGCCAGATAGTAAATATTTTAGGCTCTGTGGGCCATGTGGAATCTGTCGCCACTACAATAGGTCTATGAATAATGTTGTTTCATTCAACATCATTTCATTATAATGTTGATGAGGAAAAATAACCAATTCTGGGCCAGGGCCACTGTGTGGAGTTGGCAGGTTCTCCCCATGTCTGCGTGGGTTTTCTCTGGTACTCCGGTTTCCTCTCGCATCCCAAAGATGAGGACATGCGGTGAGTTGGCCTGTCTACCTTGTCCCTGTCTGAGTGAGTGGGTTTGCCTTGTGCTCTGAGCTGCCAGGACAGGCTCCAGCCACCTGCCACCCTGAACTGGAATAAGGTTGCAAAATCATTGTCTTACCTTTTTAAATTAATCTTTCCTAAATGTACATATAGTTCACATTTATTTCAATATTTAATGTTGAAGTGTTTGGCATCTTTATCTAGAAGTTTGATGGTGTTTTCATGACCAGAAATATGTTGTAGGAACTTAGCTCTTGTTTATATCAATTAGCCTATGGTAACCCTGGTTTTGTCATGCTTAGTGTTGCTTGAAGTCGCAGAGCCTGTGGACGATGTTAAGCCAGGACTTGCTGTTCGCAGCTCTGCTGTCGTCACATGAAAGCAGCCACAGACAGCAGGTGAGTAAATGTGCATGGCTGTGCTCCAATACAGCTTTATTTACGGTGCTAACATTTGCGTTTCATATGATGTCCGCATATCATGAAATAGTCTTTTGATTTTTTTCAACTATTAAAAAATGTAAAAACCGTTTTGTATGGTTCACAGACACAAATAAAAACAGGCAGCAGGCCAAATTTAGTCCAAGGGCCACAGTTTGCCAACCCCTGGTCTAGGTCCTTAGATCTAATGGGACTGGTACCAGAGCTCTGCCCACTGGTCCCTACGAGCTGGGCTGAGAGAACATTCTAGATTGCAAGCAAAAGTCCCCAAACTCATTTCCAAGAGAATTTCAGTTACCCCATGAAGTTTTCTGGTATAATAGCACTAATCGCCCCTCGTTTATAGATGAAGGAATCTATAGGTTTATAGATGAGACCTGGCACCAGACAGAGCACAGATGTGCTGGTTCTGGCTCAGGGCTCAGCACACACAGTGCTGTTGCCTGTGGTCCTGGCCCAAGTCTACATCCACAGTAGCTCATCTCCATTCTCAAGAAGCCTTTGCAAGTCCTGGTGTGATGAGGCAGAGAGCCTGCAGCCCTAGAACGAGGTTGACCCTGTTCTAGGATTGAGGTTGCTTTGATGAATGACAGCCCCAATCCAAAACCTCTGCACTGTGACCCCTCAGCCTCCGCCCCTGCTCAGAGGCAGAGTCCAGCAGGTTTCGTGCTGTCTGCTCACCCTGTGGAGGCTCTCAAAGCATTGGCTGCAAAGCAACACCTGGAGTTGGGGAGGGGTACCAGTGTCTGGGGACACCAAGGCCATGAGCTATCTGTGAGGATTCTGAAGGTTGCATTAAAAGCAAGAACCAACATCCCTGCGCTGAGCCCAGCCATGGTTCCTAACCCTTCAGTTTGCTCTCCCATGTGTGCGTGTGTGTGCACGTGCACATGCGCACAGGTGTGCATCTATGCATGCTCCCATGTGTAGTGGGGAGTGTGTGCAAGGTGAGCTGCACCCCTCCACTGACCCTCTAGGGCTTCCACACCAGCGAGAGCTACCTCGTCTTTTCAAGCAGTGATAGAAGAGGCTTGAATCCCTCTGGGCCGGGAAGGTGTTGAGGGGAAGGTCCTGTGGCTCGGCCCCAGCAAACTGCATGTGAGCCCCGTTCTCATACTGGTAGTGCTGCAGTGCCTGGTGGGGGCCATGCAGGGGGCTGACGTCGGGCTTGGCCGCCAGCTGGGTGGAGACGAGCCTCTGCCTCATGATGCTTTTGGAGATCACGGGGTATTCTTTGCTGGAGCAGCGGGGAGGACAGTCAGAGGGAGACAGGAAAGAGTGAACGTACTTTGAGGGTTACTGAGTCCACGTACCTGAACCCAGGCTGCCCATCCCACCCCCTGGGAACCCCCACCTCTGCAGCCGGGCCACACGCAGGTCACTGTCGTCACTACCCCGGAATCCCTTGGCAAAAGGGTTGTTCTCAATTTTCAGCTGTGTGATCTGTCAGGAGAGGATACACAACAGAGGTGCTAGGGTAGAGGACTGGGCTGGCCTTGGCCCTCCTCCTGCCCCAAGCACATTCAGAATTCATGGCAGGGTTTGGGGAAGTTGCCCACCCAGCCCTGGGCCCAGTCCTGCTGGGTCCTCCTTGGCCTCACCCTGAACATCTTGTCACTGGCTCTTATCCACCCTACTCGCTACAGACCCTCCACATCTGTCTTCTGCTCTCACTGTGCTCCTGGCTCAGTCCCTCATCATTCTCCCCCGGTGCCTGTGACAGCTTCCTGTCCCTGTCACCCCTGTCCAGTGCAACTGCCACATCAAGTTTCCAAGGACTGTTCTAGATGCAAATCTGCCTCTGTCACTCTCTGCCTAAAGTCCACCACAGCCGTGGTCCCTCTGCAGTGACCCTTGACCCCTCACCAGTCCAGTGCACACAATGTGAGAAGCACGCTGAAGAGGGTAGCACAGGCAGAGGGGCCGGGGTGTGACCCATGCAGGGATCGGAAGCAGTTTGGTTGGGCTGGGGAGGGAGGGTGAGTAGTGGGAGGCAGCCTTCTGACTACAGCTGACAGGGCCCCAGGGCTCCCC